GCTGAAATAAAATTTGAAAACAAAATACTATCATCTAGGCAAAAGTCCTGTGTTTCAACTGCTAAAAATCTGCCCTGTCATTATTAGCCTCATCTGACTGCCTTATTACTCTATGTATACATAATGCGCTTATAATACGTTGATTCAAGAAGGCATAGAACATATATACTTTGGTACAACAAGAGCTTTGTTTTATCTGAATATAAAAAAATATATAGTCTGCTGAAATTTAGTGATAATATGGCAGTTACTAAGATCTTTTGTCATGAGACTAATTAAAGTTGTGAAACATGTTTGTGTCAATGGGAAGGTGAAGAAAGTTTCTGGAAGTATTTTTACATTAATATGTTCTTTGTTTGGCAGATCATTTAAATTTAATGAGGATGTATAGCATTAATAGAAATGAATTGTATGCATAAGCTAGCATTTTACTTGGAGTTATAAGAACTGAGGAATTCCATTGTATAGAAAGAATAAATAAAAGATTTTTGTAACGTTCTGTTGATGGATGAGACTGATGATATATTCTGAGTTTTGGTGTCAATATCTTAGATCTGTATTGTTTCTGACACAGTTCTTACACTCTTCTTTCACAGTATATGAGGAGTTCTTGAAAAAGTATTTCACTAGTTTTATATTTTTTTGCCTTCCTACTTTTTAAGGAGTCCAGACTGAGAATAGTGTTGGTTTAGTTTGGTTTTGATTCCACAACTGTTACAAAAAGAATTACATTAACATTTAAATTGAAGTCTTATCCAAAAAGAAGGCATCTTCGGTTAAGCAAAAGTGTAGTGACCTACACAAGTCTTGGGGAGGCTTTTACAAAGCCTTGCACAAGTTCTTAAAGACTCCGAAAGCTGACCAAAAATACAGTTAACTATTGTGCTGTCTAGTAATCTAGGAGTCTTCAACATGAAACAGGGCAAAAAGGAGCATCCCAAAGATGCTTTGGTTATGCTAGAAGGGAACTGACCACAGTTAGATGCACAAATATGTGAGGAAAACAGTTGTTATTCACAGAAGTCATGATTTAACAATACTTCAGTACAGGAATCTTCATCTAAGGAGTTAAAAAGAAAATAATTTTTATGGGAAGCTCACTTTATGTATGGCAGGTAATCCAAAGGTTCTTGATGGAAAAAACAAATGTAGACTCTGATTTTAGGTTATTCAACTAATGAGAAGTTGGAGTTGACCTTTCCTACTGATCATGAGGTAGTAGAGTAGCAGTGAAGGGCTGTGAAATTGAACAGCCTAAGTTCCATGCAGAAAAAAGAGAGGAAGCCAATGAAAAGATAAGGGAAAAATGGTACCTCGTTAATGTTCATAAGGATTCTGAGTCTATAGAGAAAAACTGCACTTGTTAGCATTGCAAAAAAGTCAGAGGGCAAGATGGAAAGGGAGTAGGTAAGATCAGTAATGGAGAAGTATACAGGTTTCATCAGTATACAGATACAAAATTTTCTTTGTGTATCTGTATCGCATTCATAGTTTAGTGGTGGATTAACTTAGTCTGACTTTATGCAAAAATCGTGTTGAAGTGCTCTCTCTCAGGAGGAGTTAAATTTGTACTTCCTTATTAACTCTTAAGCAGTTTGCCACTGCCTCTCAACTCTGAAATTTTGCTGTTTCATTATTTCCAAAGTATCATGTCAGCAGCTTTGTCCATTGCCTGCCAGACTTTATGGTGCCAGGGAGACCTCACTCTCCTCTGGCATGTATGTAGAGGAGGGCTACCCTCATTCTGTTTGCTGTGTTGGAAAATTGAAAAGATTAAAGGGTTTAACGATGTCAGTAACTTTTTCGCAGGACCTCAGTTGTACTGTAGTGCCAGGCTAGTGAATAATGAAGCACAGAGCATCTAAAGGTGTGGGTAAGGAACCTGGAAGACTTACAGTCAGAATGTGAGATTATAGAAAAAGGTTCAAGCTACAGGTGAAGTTTAATTTAAAGACCTGAGTGACAGAATGAGATTTCAAGTTTGGGTTGAAGGAGACAGGTCTAGATGAAGCAATTTGATCTGTGAAGCTGGTAATTGAATTTGAAGGTTAAAATGTGAAAGGAAAAGAAAGAAAACCACTGACAAAACCTTGAGGAATCTGCATAGAAAATGAGGAGAATCTACTTAGGAGAAATGCTGAAGGAGTGACTTGATAAGTAAGAAGTGGATATCATGGAAACTGATGAAAGATAAGATTTCATAAAGTAGTAAACTGTGTTTTACAATGGGAAGGGTTAAGGAGGTTGAAGATAGAATATTGGTTTTGCTGTGTATCTAAGAAGTTATTAGAAATTTTGGAAAGAACATTTTTCATTGTTACAGACAATTTTTTTAAAGGACTAAATGAATAGAGGGAAACTTCAGGGAACAGTTGTAAATACTGCAGTCTTTGAGCTTGGCAATATAAAGACAAGAAGTACAATGGTAGTCCTATAGATGCATGAAGGACAAATGTTGAAGTATAATTTTATTTTTCTATATTTTTCTATACCTTACAATATATGAACCTGTAGTAAAAAAAAATTATATAGGCTAATAAAGTTGCTTTGTTCAGTTTCAGGGGTGATTCTTTAGGTTAGTAACATAGTCTGTGTTCAAATGGAAAATCAAGCATAAGATTACATTAAAATTATTCCATATGTTCCTTATAAAAATTTTTCAACATATATGCAGAGAGTTGCCATAGGCAATTTTGGTAAACTATAATTTAAATCATTTTGAACTTTCCCTTATAGCAGAGAGAAACTGGTTGCTTTAAAGAATATGTATCAGGTACATGTATGTACAGTGGGTTTTGTTCATTACTTCATTGTTTCTAAATTATGTTACAGGGAAGACAACTGTGGATAAGAGTGTAATAGTTCATCCTGAAAAATACATTTAAAATGCCCTTAAATATCCTGATTGTGCATGCAACTGTTAATAGCAATTCTGTAGTAGTTAAGATGAGAAATTGACCTGTTTTTATTGTAAGGTATTTTCAAAATTACTTGGAAAAATAGTAGCATTAAGAAAAGAAGATCTGACAAGAGTTTATGTTAAATACTCATTGTTTCCTGGCTATGTTTTGCATATTTATTTGTTGTGGTATGTACTTGTTGTTCTAACAGTGTTTTGATGCTCTGTATGTAAAGTTTCTGTGCAATAATATTAAACCTGAAGGAGGAAGCTTGTTTGCCGAAAGATAATTTGGCAAATATGTTTTTGCAGGTACCTTTTGGTGTACAATCCCATGGAACAAGAGCGATTTTCAGTGATTTCAGTCAATGTGAATACACCCAGAGTTCAATTACTATCTCCTTTGGGAAAACCTGTTACTGTCCAGATTAGTGCTGTTTGGGATGGAGCAACCACAGTATCACATGAAGCATATCAGGTATGCTACTTTAAAGAAAAAGCATTAAAGTATATTTTTGACAGATATTGTAGTATCACAGTTGAAGAAAATGGAACGTATACTTCAAATATTGGCAATTCTGTCTTCTGCAGATAATGCCATTAATTCAGTCATTTTAAGGGGAAAAAAATATTTATAAATAGCATGAATGTTACTTAAATATGTGTATTACATTTAAAGGGTCAGTTTCAGCTGCATGAACAAAAAATATTGGAAGTGTGTCTTTTCCCCCAACCTTCTAAAGCTGCTTTTTCCTTCAAGTGATAGCCTAGGTACACAGTCATACAGTCTGCATGTGCTTAAGCATTCCAGCTGGAAAGTTTTGTAAGTGCAATGGCTTAAGCAATTAGATTCTGATTTTTCTGGGGTCATGAGACCTCACCTGCAGTGCTGTGTCCAGCTCTGGGGCCCCCAGCGTAAGACAGACATGGACCTCCTTGAGCGGGTCGAGAGGAGAGCCAAGAAAGAGCTCAGGGGGCTGGAGTGCCTCCCCCTATGAGGACAGGCTAAGAGAGCTGGGATTATTCGGCCTGGAGAAGAGAGGGCTGCGGGGAGACCTTACAGCGGCCTTCCAGTATTTCAGGGGGGCCTACAGGAAAGGTCGGGAGGGACTCGATCAGGGAGTGTAGTGATAGGACGAGGGGTAACAGCTTCAAACTGAAAGAGGGCAGATTTAGATTCAATGTTAGGAAGTTCTTCACTGTGTGGGTGGTGAGATGCTGGAACAGGTTTCCCAGAGAACCTGACAGTGTTCAAGGCCAGGTTGGATGTGACTTGGAGCAACCTGATCTAGTGGGAGGTGTCCCTGCCCATGGCAGGGGGGTTGGAACTAGATGATCTTTAAGGTCCCTTCCAACCCAAACTGTTCTGTGATTCTATGATTTTATTTTTTTTTTTTTTTTTTTCCGGGAGATTATTTTTCCCAGATTTTAGACAGGATTTAAGCTTGCTTTTTTTTTTTTTTTTTTTTTTCCAGGTATAGAGGCTGGATAGTAATCTCCATTACTCTTGTACTCAAGCTAGACAGATGATTTTGAGTCTACCTCTTATTTTTTGTTTTAAACAAAATTTCTGAGAATTTTTGAATCATACATCATTATAGAAGATTGTTCTCAATGATCACACATCAGAAACTGTATTTTGTTAAATACTTAGTGATATATAATAGTACTATATTACTGTAATACTGTATTACTTCCAGGCTTACATACTTAGTCTGATTCCTTTTGACTTTGGAGCCAAGGTGGGCTTGATTCAGGATAATATTCCTGTGAAGATATTTGAATAAGTGTGTCTCAGTTGTCCTCCAAAGGGATAATTATTGATAATTGTTGTGAGTTAATCCCAGCCAGCAGCTCAGCTCCACACAGCCCCCAGTGGGATGGGGGAGAGAATTGGAAGGGTAACAGTGAGAACTTGATGATTGAGGTAGACAGGTTAATAGATAAAGCAGAAGATGTGCATGTGAACAAAGTGATATGAGGAATTCATTCACTCCTTCCCATCCACAGGCAAGTGTGCCATCATCTCCAGGAAAGCAGGGCTCCATCATGTGTAATGGTTTCTTGAGAAGACAAATGCCATTACTCTGAATGTCCCCCTTCCTCCAGCTTTATATGCTGACCATGACATCATATGGGATGGAATATCCCTTTGGCCAGTTGGGGTCAGCTGTCCCAGATGTGTCCGCTCCCAACTTCTCGTGCACCCCCAGCTTCCTCGCTGGTGGGATGGGGTGAGAAACAGAAAGGGCGCTAATGCTGCATAAGCAGTGCTCAGTGACAGCTAAAACATCCCTGTGTTATCAACATAGGAGCTATGATGAAGAAACTTAACTCCCTCCATCCAAAACCAGTACAATAATTAACACTATTAATTCACTGTAGAACAAGAAGAAATAAAATTACGTTATCTGTACCTCGAATTCTAAGCAGATTGCTTTGGAGATCTACATGTATATTACTCTTCTGTGCAGATTACCTTGTAGCTCCTAAATAACTAGAGACTGAAAATGAGACAGTTGCCTTATATTTTGCTATTGAAATGTATGGATTTTTAAAAGCAACTTAAGTGATAAGTAGGGTCTGTGCCCGCTTGTTATGCTGTTCACACATCTTTAATGCACGGCAAATATGCTCAGAACTGCACATCACAGCTAACATTCTTTAACAAGATTGAAAATCATTATTGCATTAATGTAACTGATCTTGATGCTAAGAAAATCAGTGGTGCAGTTATTTTTGTTTGCTAATTCTTCTTAGTGTGCTTCAGCTGTTAATTTTGGAATGTCATTTGTAATTTTATATTCATTCATGGAGTATGGGAAAAACTCAGCCATCCTAAAATTATTGAAGCAAAAGGGGTTACTCTGAGCATAAGTTTAGTATAAAAAGTTGATACTTTTAGGTTGAGATTTTTAATAATGGCTTCTTTTTTTGCTCCCAACAGATCTCTTTTGTGGTGCATCTACCACCTCTGGGACTTGGAGTTTACCAGCTTTTGGAGGTTCAAAGTTCAGAAGCAGTTTTAGCAGACTATAATATATACATGAGGAATAGTAGGCAAGAGAAGCCAGACACACTTTTCAAGATAAAGGAAATGCAGAATTCTGTGGATAATATAATCTTAGAAAATTCTTACATGAAGCTGTGGTTTTCTGGAATGTCTGGATTACTGGAGGTGTGTTGTGTTATATTTCAAAACCCAATGTTTGACTTCTTTAAGAGCTTCTGTTCTTATTCGTGGAAACCTAAATGTGTCAACTGTTTCAAACACGATTCTCTGTCCTTAGAAAATAAATACCAAAGAAGATGGTAAAAATCATCAAATGAAGGTGGAGTTTGCTTGGTATGGAACTACAAGTAACCGGGATAAAAGTGGAGCTTATCTCTTCTTACCAGATGGAGATGCCAAGGTAAATCTTCTATTTGTGGAGAGATTCTAATCTTGAAGTAACTTGAAGCGTTCTGCAAATACAGATTGGAAGAGCACTGAAATACAGCTGTATGGCTAGAAATAATGACGTTAGATATTGAAATGATTGGCAGAACTTCATAACCCTAGATTTGGGTAAAAACAGAGCATTAATTTGAAAGTGTAAATATATACAGAATATTTATGATTCACCAAAAAAATTAAATAAGATGCTACCTTTGCAAGAAATCCAGTGTGATGTGATCATTCACTATCAATAAAATAAGTTCACTTTCACTTCCTATGGTGAAAATGTATAGGACATACTGATTCATTTCTGCACTTCTTCACTTTTCTGATTCTTGAGGGTTTTTTTTCAGCTGATATTAGCATATGTAGTTTAATACAGTAATTGGGGTACTGAGTCTCAATTGACAAATGTAAAGACAGAGTAGCAAGCAACTGTTGTGATTTAGTGTCTAGGGTTATCAGAATTTTTAGCTGTGTAGTTATTAGCGGGCAACAGCATACTCCTATTAGTTTTCAAATTAGAAATTCAGAAATGACAGTTTTCTTATACTGACTTAATATACCATACAGAATATATGCTTTTGGAACTGGAAAGGTGCTATTTCAGAAAGCAAATGATGAAATAATGAACCCTTTTAAGAAGCTGGCTAATTTGTGGCATATTTCTTCTTCTCCTGGAGAAACTTAAGTTGCATGTGTAAGGCAAACTGGGACTTCTGTTTACCACTTCAGAAAATAAGTAAAGGTGAACATTGTATTACTTTGTTGTTGTTGTTTTTATATATGTAAATCAGTCTAGAAGTGGACAGAACCATTTCCTTTGCTTTCAGCAGTCTGTCCTAGAAGCACACATTTTGAGGTCTGTGAGTTGGCACTTTTAAACCATTTAGTATATTTGGTCCCATAATTGTTTGCATCAGTTGTGTTCAACAGGGTTCACTTATTCTTAATTTTTAAATGTTAGTGGCTTTGATCTGTGAATACCTGAACAATTTCACTTACAGTTTTTAAATTTTAGCTGTCATCAGCTGCATGGTCACACTTTACTTGATTTTATTTTGGATGCTACTTCGTCTTTTGCTTGTAAAAACAATAATCGCTAAATCTAGCAGCTATGTAATTTTAACTACACTTTTGAATTATTATATAAATTTTGAATTATTATATATATTAAAAAAAAGCAAAATGCTATGGTTTTAACAGAAGAAGTCTGTTACGTGCCTGTAGGCACAGTTAGGAAATAAGGTATGTATTGTACTTTTATGGAAAATTAAATTAAAGAACAATTTTAGTCAACATGAAAAAGGGTGGTGTATTTAGCTTTTGTAACTTTTACACAGTAAAAATGAAATCATGATACTTCTAAAAGCTTCATTAATATACCATGAGGCTCACTTGGCTTGCATTTTGGTAACATTAATTGAGTTGTCCCACTGGGAATAACAATGTAATTCTATAGTAGTTTCTAAAACAGAACTAATGATATCTGTCTTAAAAGAAATACCATCTGTTCAGGGTTCTCAATGTGAGGTAGATTGACTAATATTTTCTAAGGTCTTGTATGGAGTGGCAATAGGATAGATTACAGTTAGTTTTCTTGTCTTTTGGCTAGGGTTTTATTTCCAATCCCACTCACTCTATGTATTACTGCAAAATTTGCTAAGAATAATTACATTTGATATTCAGTCGTTTTCCTCTAGTATGAGTAGAGTTACATGTGTTCTTTGCCTTTGTTAACTGGTTGTTTTGTCACCTGATAAGTCTTCTGGTTCTTTTCTTTTTGTTTCTGCAATATTCAGAAACTATTTTTCTTCATCTAGTTTAATCATCTGTCTTACTATAGTACTTATATACAGCCTTTTTGATCTTGGGTTCTTCTGCCACTTTAATTTTAGAAACTTGATGCTGGAACATGCTAGGTTTGCAGGCCATGACTTAAAGCCATGGCAGTTTAGAATACTTGACACATAAAGTGCAGCTCTGGTCCTCAGTAGGCTGTTAAGAGCAGATGTCATGCTTTCTGCAGATGGTGGTCTGTGTACTAGAATGTACACAATCTGAGTCCTTCAAGAGGTTCCTTGGATTAATCACATTTATGGCTGACCTAAAAACAGCCTGGAGTACTGCAAAGAGTGCATTCTTGCTAAGAAGCAATAAGCCTCTAGTACTAGCACTAAGTTGGACATTAGCAGAGACCTGGGGTGATGACAGGGATTTACACAATATTAAAGAGAAGGTACACTGAACACTGATAACTCTTTGTCACTGCTCTGGAAAGAATAGCTGGACTTGAGGTTCTACGACACCATGGCAAATTGCCACAATGCAGCAAGACAGCCCCCAGTAAGAACAGTCTCTGTGGTTGTGGCATAGGGTCTTGAGTGTGGATGAGTCTGCCCCTGCTGTCTCTGAAGTTTGGAAGTAAGTCAGTGGCAGCCTTGGGTCAAGACACCAATGCGAAGTCCAGGACAATTGCACAGAGCATAAGGCAGTGCTCCTACCACGTCTTTGTATTTTCTACAAAATAGAACAAAAGCAAGGTACTAAGGAAAAAGACAGACAGTATCTTAATTTTTTTAAACTGTCAGTGCTGCTTAACTGATTGACAATGTTATCAAGGTTTGGAAGGAAGGGACGTCCTTGAACCTCGCAACAAATATAAACAAAAGCATCCTGCCTGTGAAGGGCAAACATGTTTATGTCTTGTGATTTTTGTGAAGGATGTCCAACTCTGTAAATCTGTAGATCTGGGGGAGAGAAAGTCAGTATTCAATAAACTTTGAAACGGTTAAATGTCTATATTTTCTTCTGTGTATTCAAGACAAGTCAATATCTGATGACCCACTTACTAGCCATGTTTGATATCAATAGCAAATAGAACAAAGCAGTTTTTTCAAAGAGTCAGATGCTAAGTGTTTGTGGGGTCAATGTGAGTGGTTCATTTTCTTGTTCTACAAATCAATTTTTCAGAATCAAAGTGGACTTTTTTATAGACCCAGACTGGGAAATTGTGATTCTCCCTCAGGCAGCTGTGTCTATGCATGTATGTGTGTGTTGCTGTAGGTACTTATGTAGTAACAGAATATGTAAGAAAAGAGATTTTTTTTAAAAAAAATTTATTTTTTTTGGTCCTGCAGGATCTCTAATGCTAGAGCTTTTCTCCCTTTTTCTTCTTCACACTTTGTCTCCATTGTTGGACTTCCTTTACAGATTATGATCCCTGACTTGTATAGCTGCATTTTTCCATGATCAGTCGTTTTTTTTTAATCTGTCAAGATTACCTGTTTCCTCTGCTTCTCAGAGAAGAACACGTATTCAATTATCTAAATGCTTGGCCTTCAAACCTAAGGAAAGGATAACAGTATCTTTCTGCAGTTTTGTAGGTGAGATTGAGATGTTCCACTGCCCAAAAGGAGAAAGACTATCCATTTAGAGTATCTTGCTGTATCTGTCTTCAGATTTTCCCTCTCAAAAAGGCAGAGGATCCTCATTCAAGCATAGTGTCTACTTTTAATGTTTCCCCTGGTTTTGCAGTCCTGATAACAGGAAAAGATACGTATGCAGGCATTGTTACCTGGAAGGTGCTCATGGTACTCAAGAACTGGCTGCCTTTGAAGTGTCTGTTCTTTCCTTAGTGCTATGTATTTTCCTCAAGCATCATATCTATCATCTGAAAATCTGCTCCACATATTGGTTGCGTTATTTTTGGAGACAAAAGTATTAAAATGACAACAGTCATTCTTCTGCCGTGTAATCCTTAAAAAACAGTTCTCAAGAGCTCATAGTATTTGATTTCCCCACCCACTCCGACCCCTCCCCTAATACCTAGTCTAATATAAAACTCTTTCAAATGAACGATAATCTAGTGAAAGCAACTTTTCTTCAAGGCTTTGTCTTAAATCTTTTTTAAAATTTCAGGGATATCAAGAGCAATTCAGTCTCTTTTGGAAAACTTTACTCTGGGCATAGTTTATTTGACTTCCACACCAACAGTGTACTGAACGCTGCCATAATTTCTAGGCCACACTGAAATGGTTAGTAGTGCTTCACTTGACTACAAGGGGAAAGCCTTATTACCCATGCTTCATGCCTTCAGGCTGCAATATGCCATGCTAGCTTCTATGTGATCCAGTATACCTTTAAGTGAAGGCATCTCTCCAGTTATCTCTGTCCCTTGGCACTTTGGCACCCTATTTGATGCCAAGTATTTTGAGATATGCTAGAGAAAAGTGGGATATTATTTTGCTCCAAGTATTCTCCCTTAAAATTTCTAGCTAGCTTTTTTTTTTTCCCCTTCCTTCAAGGAGAGGTTATCACATTTCATTTCACCTGAATATGAGTACTGAAAAATGGTTTCTGGACCTTTTGACTCATGGTTCTGTTACTCTGTTTCTGAAAATACTGATTTCCAGGCTCAACAAAACCTGCCACAGCAGGCTGCTGATTCTTGCGCAATGGAACTTGTTCCCGTGGAGCTGAGGGGAAGAGATTTTACAGTGGTTATTCATTTTAACTGTTTAGGAAGTGGAGTCTTGAGACTACCACTGCATATGAGACCCAAGTATTTTTATTCCTAATTTAAGGTCTTAGTAGTCGTAGAATCCTTCATGCTGGAAGGCCATGTAGTCCAAGCTCCCACTCAAAGTAAAAATACTCAGAGTAAATACCGAATTCAGATCAGGGCTTTGTGCAGTCAGTTTTGCAAATAGCTCTATCATTGTTTGTTCCTTCCACTTAGAAAGGGAAGTGGTTTGCATCTGAGAAGTAAGAGGCCTATTCCTGCATATTAGTCAGACATTCACATCAAAAATATCTTTATATTGCAGACCCAGACCGTTTCACAAGCCTCTGTGCATGTCACCAAGGATCTTTACAATGATACTAGAATAATTGCACATTCAAGGCTTAAAGATGTTTTCCTGCTTAAAAGCCTAATTCATTGAAATGTTTTCAGTGTGGCAAATCTGGTCAATTATCATTTTATAAGTTCTGAATTGTGTATGTTTCCAGATGACTGTGAAGAAATCAGTTCCTAGGATTAGTGCTTTTCTAGGCCCTAAATATTAATTAGGAAGCTTCCCTAGTCTCTCGGTACCATATTTTTTTCTTCATTTATCCTGTTTCCTGTTTGCCCAACAGTCAGGAAGCAACAGAGATCCTTGTGAACTGGAGTGTACATCATATCTCCACTCTGTATTGGAAAGAACTTTTCTAACCCCCAAAACCACATGATAGCATGTGCCTTTGTAACTCTCCTTCCTAATTTGTACCTTTTCCCTGCACTGTATCTGAATCGGAGGATTGCAAACTGCTTTTGGTACATTTCTCTCAATGCATGTGCTACTGGAATCACAAATGATATTTTAAAAAGATTCATCAGTTTCAGACAATATCTTCAAAATTACATTTAATTCCTTTTCTTTCCTATTACGTCATCTTCCTGTGTAGTTCAGAGCAGTAAGTATGGTTGCCTTTATCTTCAGCTGGGAAGCTGATCTGGCTACATGCTCAACTTGGAGAATCTAGTGTGTGAATTTAGTATTTGTGGCAATATCCCAATATCTGAGACCTGTTGAATGCATCTTATTTCAACTTTCTACTGGTACAGCAACAGTGTATTTTGGTACTTGCTGTCCGTGTCACTATCATGTTTTAAACTAACAAGCTTGATGGAACAGAGTTCTCGAAGTATTCTTTTACTTTTTGTTTTAGAAAAATTACTTCAGATTTTTCTTTTCTTTTTTTAAGTGCACAGCCTTTTGCATTCCTTTGTTACTCATCCGGCATCTATCCGTTTTACTGGTTTGGTCCTGGATAGCTCGAGTGAGAGAGAGTCCTAGTGAGAAATGTTCTTACAAACAGAAATAAGCCCCTAAGATAGGTGTTACTTCGCTAACAGCATGTATTTTGCAGGCTGCAGTTCATGTAAGTAGTATTCTCCTAGGTGATAAGCGAGGGTATTTGCTTGGCCTGAAGGCCTCAGGTTTCTCAGTTCATTTTCTGAGAGTTCCTTTAGCTGAAGTTTCAGTGCTTCATTGCTAACCTGAGGATCTTCATGTTGTCCTACCCTGCAGGTAGGATTTTGAAGGGTTTTTAATCTAAGCATATAATTCTAGGAGCTTGTAGTCACAGGTTAAATGAGTCTTCTCTACCTCTGTGTAATAGATTGGCAGATAGATAGTGATCTCTTTTGCCTGAAGAAGGGAAAAGATTCAGTCTACATTGATGGATCTTGGCAGTTTTTCATGGAAATAAGAGAACCCAAAAGCCAGCTCAAAGTCTAACCTAAGTTCAGGTCTTCAGATTTCCTTTATCCAAGCATATTAAGTCACCTGGCTTCTGTGCCCTCCTAATACCATACTCCTCCTGTATTTCTCAACTGGCAAATGGATTCTTCGTAACAGATAACACTTGTCTGTCTTATTGACAGACAATAGTGATGCTGTATCACATCTTTGTTGGCAACATGGACAGTGGGATTCAGTGCACCCTCAGCAAGTTTGCCGATGACACCAAGCTGTGTGATGCGGTCGACACGCTGGAGGGGAGGCCGTCCAGAGGGACCTTGACAGGCTGGAGAGGTGGGCCCATGCAAACCTCATGAAGTTCACCAAGGCCAAGTGCAAGGTCCTGCACCTGGGTCAGGGCTATCCCAAGCACAGATACAGGCTGTGCAATGAGTGGATCAAGAGCAGCCCTGAGGAGAAGGACTTGGAGGTGCTGGTGGATGAAAAACTGAGTATGAGCCAGCAATGTGCGCTCGCAGCCCAAAAAGGCAATCACATCCTGAGCTGCATCAAGAGAAGCGTGGCCAGCAGGTCGAGGGAGGTGATTCTCCCCCTCTACTCTGCTCTGGTGAGACCCCACCTAGATGGAGTGCTGTGTCCAGCTCTGTGGCCCTCAACACAAGACAGACATGAACCTGCTTGAGGGGGTCCAGAGGAGGGCCACAAAGATGCTGAGGGGGCTGGAGCACCTCCCCTGTGAGGACAAGCTGAGAGAGTTGGGGTTGTTCAGCCTGGAGAAGAGAAGGCTCTGGGGGGACCTTATAGCGGCCTTGCGGTACTTCAAGGGGACCTACAGGAAAGGTGGGGAGGGACTCTTGATCAGGGATTGCAGTGATAGGACAAGGAGTAACGGTTTCAAACTGGAAAGAGGGGAGGTGTAGGAAGAAGTTCTTCACTGTGAGGGTGGTGAGGCACTGGCACAGGTTGCCCAGAGAAGCTGTGGTTGCCTCCTCCCTGGCAGTGTTCAAAGCCAGGCTGGATGGGGCTTTGAGCCACCTGGTCTAGTGGAAGGTGTCCCTGCTCATGGCAGGGGCACTGGAACTCGATGATCTTTAATTTCCTTCCAACCCAAACCATTCTATGATGAGATGAGACTCCTTGGAAGTATCCTTTTTATGTCAATTGTTGAGAAGTCCAAAAGAGTCTTTCCTTATTTCGATTTTTGTACTGATTAACTGGGTAAAACATTGCTCTAAGATGGTCAGTAGAAAAGCCCTCTCTACCTAAACGACCCATCCTACTGAAGTGTAAGCAACTATGATTCCTTTTCCAAACTCCTGTACAAAATATTCCCATAGTTGATAGCTGCAGAGTTGCCTTTTGGAGTTCTGGCAAAGCTTTTATTAAACAGAGTTCTGTATGAAGCTTTAAGAATAGTTATGTGAATAGAAAGGCAGGCTTTTAGTCTTTTAAAGTCTCTTTCAGTTTCTTCTTTTATACAATACTTTTTGAAATTTTTCTGTGAACATACATGAAGTTACATGTTCAAAGAAGAAGATTGGACGATATGTACCTGTACTTGTTCTTCTCTGGTTTATCTATATGTATGTAATCTTGATTTCCTCTCTTCCGCAAGATATACTTGATCTTTCGTTTCCTCACTTGAGAAGGAAGCACATGGTCTGTCCTTCTTAAGACATTGGTACATATAGGAGCAGGACAGTCACCGTCTAAGAGCTTTCTGCTTAGAACCCACTGAATAACATGTTTTTCAAGCATTTTGTTGGGTTTTTTGAGAGAAATCTTAATTGCCATTGCCCTGTAGTAGTAGTTGCACATGTTATATTTTCATTTTTGGCTTTGCACATGCTTAATATTTAACCCATTTTTACCTTTGTAGTTTTCCATGTATTTCTATATATTGTATACCATTCTGCTTGGGATCAACTGTTTTAAAAAAAAGATCATTGTTTGCATAGCCAAGAGTCAAAATACTGTGACTATATGGAGAAATAATTTTCTTTTTCTCTTTGATTTGGCTATGGATGTAGGAAATTTCTGCTAGTTTCTGAGACGTTAGTAAGAAACTAATGTCCCTCTTGAGGTTTCTTTATGGTTCCCAGCTCTACCCCGCATTCTAGGGGACTCCCCTGGCAACTGTATTTGCTTTTGATGAAGAAAAATCTTCCTCTTTCACTTTCAAAAGGACATGCAAACTGATCCACCAGGCAGTGTAGGTGCGGCTTTCCTCCATGCGGTGTGTACCGCTAGTATAGTAAACTGAGCAAACGAAACAGTTAAACCATCTGCCACAAATTATGAAACTACAGTATTTTCTTACTGGTTAGCAAGTATAATTTTGCTAGCAAAAAAGCTCAATCCATATGTTTGCAATATTAATACGTTACTGTGTTTGTAGGCCTTGTATCCATTAATCCTCATAAATACCTGTGAGAGATGTAATGAGGGGTATCCTAATTTTAGCAAAAGGAAAAGTGGGGCTCTGAAGAGAAGCTGATGAATTTCAGATTAGGACAGATTTTTTAATTCCCAGTTTTTAGACTAGACTTAGGTATAGAACACTTTAAAAAAAATTAAAAGACTATTTAATATTTGTTAAATACTTTGATTTATTGACATTACTTTTATGCAAAACTTTTGAAATAATTATTCTGACTTTCTATTTTCTTTTTTTAGCCTTATATTTTTACAGATCCGCCTATCATAAGAGTTGCTTATGGAAGGATTTTCTCAGAAATTGTATGTTTTTTCCACCATGTGACACATACCATGCGACTGTATAATGTCCAGGGTAAGAGTTGTGAAATTCTGTCTCTCTCAGCAATTATTTCTCATCAGTACCATCTTGGATCCTACCTGTCCTTTTAATGTTTAAGTTCAATTCTAAACTAGTGCAGAATTTGACAGACTGAAGTCTTTACTGGGTCCAGTGCACCATGATTGCTTTCTGAGCATCATGCAAGTCATTAATCTGGCATGCTTAAACTCCAGTTTTGTTGGCCATACCTCTCAATATCAGGATATTTTATAGTATATATTACCTACTAAGGGGTACCAAACTTTAGTGGGTCATCTGTACCTATGCCTATGTTTAGGTAGCTGTAAATTATGAAAATGAAAAAAAAAAAATTTAGAAATACCTTGGAGATGATGTAAAAACGTAGTTACTTTCATAGCTTCAAACTTATTGACGGAGAGATATTATCTTCTCTAAGGTTGCAAAGAGTGTGAAGTTATTTGTTAGTGGCATTAATAGTGAAGTCTAGTTTACTCCACATCTGTAGGCATGCTTTAGTTACCATTGAGCTTCCTTTTTATGTCCTTTATGTTGTTGGAAGAGCTTGTGACAGAATCTGCTGTGTCTGTTGAGAGGCACCAGCCCTGAACACCCACTTATTGACTATTAGGACATAACTTCATATCAGTTTTGCTTGCATTCCCTTCAGTAAAGCTTTATTTTTTTGTTTCTCTGCTGTTCAACTACTGATTTCCAAGAAAATTCTAGGACAGCAGTAACATTGGAAACTCTGTACCCTTCCAAACTTGATGATTAAATTGGCCAGTGAAAAATGTAACAGAGGGAGGAAATAGTTGTGCAACTGTATAAACTTTCTTTCCTATAGAAACTTGACTTAAAATGCTTAAGTTTATCTTTTTGTACTTGAAGTAGGAAACACACATTTTCAGTTGTTCATCTATTTGTATTTACTCTACTGGATTTTTTTCTGAAATATGGAAGCATTGGCTAATATTTTCAACAGTTGAAGGTACTTAAACATAACTTTTGTATTAGCATTAGTTTTACTGTAGATGCCAAAATTGCCTGCATGGTTTTAAAAATCTTATTTATCATATTTAATTATTTTTTCTAAACACCTTCAAAAACAAGTAATGAAGCTGTAAGTACTTTGAAAGTCTACTTTGCACTTTTCCTTACTCCTTTTATGTTTCAAAAATACTATTGCCAGCAATACCTAGTTTACAGTCACACAGAACTGACCCATTTGATATGGGTTTTTTTTTTGCAGTTGCAATGTATTTCTCTTTAGAACTAAAATTGAGTCAGATGCCTGAGTTTTTATGATGTAAATGTATACTTTGAATTTGAATTTGCTAGAGTTTACCCGTATGCCATATACTGATCAGAGGTCAGTTGTCGGCTTGTCTGATACAGTAATTCTAGATCAAACTATGGATCACATTTGTTATGAATACAAACCAAGGTGTTGTATAGTAATTTGTTGTTGAAGATCCTCAGGAAAGATGTCTATATTCAAAATTATATTTTTAGATTTTATGTGACCAATATGTAAAACAGGCTTAGATGGGGGAAAAAAAAAAGCTATCTTGGGGTCAAGATGTACTATGTTACCAAAAATATGAAAAGAAAGTTACTTTAATTTACTGAACCACACACAGTAAACTCCTTGGCAAGGAGGAAACTTATGTAAGGGGGATGTTTCTTGTAGTGAAGGTGAGGGAAAAAGCCTGAAAAGTCTCTCTTTTGATTAGGGTGACATTGTTTGGCACTTTTTTTAATGGATTTTTTTTTTTTTAATACTCCCTGGGTTTTAATTTCTTAGTAAAGTATAACTAAAAGTAAGTATACTTCCATTTCACAGTTCGCAGAAAATGGGTTATCGGGGAAAATCACTTGCTTGCCAATTCCTAACATGTTTATCTTTCATTTTGAGTGCACTGTTTAGGTTTTTTCCTCTTTTTTTTTTTTTTGACAATTTTTAATTCATCACACTGTTTCAATACTTACACCATTACATATCCAGTCATCATGGTGAAGTCCTGTACCATTCTCACAGATTTTACAAGGAAATATTATGCAATTCTTTTATATATTTTTTCTGATTACTTTTGTGGTGTGTTTTTATTTTAATTTCTTATATGAAATGGCCTTTTTTTAAGTTTAAAAATCGAGGCATTTGTGACATTGTTTTGCTAAGGTTTGTTTCTTGGGCTTTGTAAGGGAAATTATTTATATAGCATTACTTCTATTAAAAGAAGGTATCTTGAAATTTTACTAGGTTTGTACAGTAACAAAGCATGTGGAGAGAAATAAGTATGTGTATATGTATACTTACATTTTGTTTCTAAATAAAGACTTGATACTCCTGTTGTATCCTGTTTAACCTTTTCTGCTTCTGTTAGTCTTTTTATCAGGAAAAAAAAATCAATCTTTCTGTTAGTCTTTTTATCAGAAGCTTCTTATGTTTCATTATCTTCCTAATTGTATTTTTGTATTATCTCAAATTATGCATTAGAAAAGAGCTGAGAGTGATTCATGGTCTGGTCATGTTAAAATAGTAAACTAAAATATTGTATCCTTGTTCAATGTACTCGTGATTTAAAAGTCCTGCTTTAAAATAGTTGAAAATCTGTGGCTAAAACTGTCAAAAATAGAGCAGATAGATCCACTTTTTCCCGACTAGGTCTGGGAATATACAAGTAGTTTCTGAACTGAGTGGTTTTTCATTTAGCACTGTAGTATAATAGCCATTGGTAACTAAATGTTAACATTTTAGCAGTTGCTGGTACTGCTGCAGGTGGCATTCAGGTTTTAAAAAAGATGAGGAAAGAAATACAGAGCTTGACATCCACCTCATTCAGGTGATGAAATCACAGCCCTGACTACATTTCTATATACTAAATAATGGTATAAAAATTGAAGCAGGCAGACACTTTCAACATTCCATTGTGTAAGGGTTCAGAGTGTTGTGAAGACTTTAAGGAAACTATTGCAACATGCTATCAAACAGAACTGCAAAAAAAAATTCGAAACTATATATGTAGAAGGAAAAAGACGTTGTGCTAACTTCTGTCCATGTGCTTAGGAATCTAGGAATTTTATTCAGATATTTTGTCCTCCTGCAAAAGATTCTACAGTTCAAGGGCCCAAACTGATGAACATGCCTCCGAGTCTTCTGAGTTGACATACAGTGAATTGTTGAAAAAAAAAAAAAGTATTTAGTATCTAAGATTTTTAAATAACTGTCTTCAAGTTTTAAAGGACTAAGTTGTTTTATCAGTCCCTCACATTCTACCATCTTCTGCTTACAATCTGTCAGACGTGTAATTTCATCTAACTACAAAGGGATATTTCATATGTCTGTTCTGCTTGGCAGAATTCTTTTCACACTTGTTAGTGCCGTTAGACAACAGAAAGGGTAGAAGTGGTCATGCTGAATGATGGTACGATTCCAGTCCAGACTGTGTCTCCAACTGTTTGAAAAGGTCAGGTTATTATTAAAGGTATTTAATTTTCAGTGTGAGGCACTGTAGAAAAAAATCTCAGTGAACATCTGTCTCCACTTTCAGATACTTAATCCTTTTTTTAATAAATAGGCATCTTTTCCGTGTCAACAAAGACTTGTGTCCTGGTTGTGGTTGTATTCGTCCATGTGGTCATATTAAGGAAGATTTTTCTCTGTTTTGGTTAAAACAGCTGACCGGTTTCCTGCTTAGTAGAACAGTTGCTGTCAGGAGGCTGGTAACTTCGTTCTTGTCTGTGAATGGCATCAGCCACATGAGTCAAGGGGAGAAGTGAATGGCTAGGTCTTGCTCCAGTGTATTAGCTGCTGCTAAAGACAGCACTTAACAGTTGTATGCTGTTTCCTACTGATTTACCAGAACCCACATTGGTTGTTCTCATGAACTGCTTCTGTTCTACTTCAGTGAAGTTTTGAAACTGTATGTTCAATGAGTACTGAATTAGAAATACTGATATCTCATATGGTACATAACTGAACTAGCTTCTGATATCTAGTTAGATATAGCAGAAAAGGGAAGGTAGCAGGGGAAAACTAGATCACTGTGTTTTGGAAGCACAGTCATTCTTACGTATGTGGCAGTCACTTTTAAATATTGAGAGATTTTAAATGCATCTTTTTAATGTAGGTTTGGAAGGCCAGTCTCTTGAAGTTTCGAATATTGTGGATATTAGAGGAGAATATAATCGTGAGCTTGCAATGAGAATTTCATCTGACATAAACAGTCAAAATAGATTCTATACAGATCTTAATGGATATCAGGTAATTATTGTCTATTAATTATAAAAGCTTAGGGTCTTAGTTTTTTACTGTCTTAGTAACTTCTGATTGTAAAGAGTTTGAGTTATATTAACCAACCTCTCATGTTAAACTCTACTAGTCATTTAGAAGGAGAAATGCTTTAAAAAATGTATCCTGTATAAAATTTGATTTAGACCTGATGAAGCAGCAACTGTTTTCTTTCAAGGAGTTTGTTAAATATTCCTTTATATCCTTTTTAACATAAGAATTGTAATACAGCAACTTATGACAAGCCACCATATAGTTGCTTGTGTATCTGCATGCCTTCTTTCCCCACAGCTTTGTCTATTTAATTAAATCCCTTTGGGTAGCACAATGCTAGATGTCCATAATGTCCAGCACCTCAGACCTAGGAAAAAAATGCTTGCTGCTGTGGTGGAAATAAGTGGTGTATTTTTGGAGTGTAACAACTTTTTCTATTGGTAATGCAGCTGATGAAATATTGTGTGACCATTTTTTTAACTTGGACTCTGCAACTCACGGAAGAAAGAAAATTTTCTTTTCCTTACCTTTCTTCCTTGCTAAAAATAGTTTTGCAAATACATTGAAAATTATACCTGCTGAGTAAAAGACTACTGTTTTTCCAGTTAGTCTATAGTACTGCATTTTGCTGGAGACAGTAAAGTGAATATTTAAACATGAAAATAATTTTAATATTACTTCTCATTTGTCATGTACCATTCAAGAATTCCACCAGCACTTTAAGAAGTTCACATTATAGACCAACAATTCCTTTTCTGCTACCTTGAATCTATTCACTGTTTGCTCTCTATAGCAGAAAAAAATTTCTCTCATTCTGTAACTGTGATTATTCCTTTTTTTCTAGGTTCCCTTGATGAATCTTTTAGGTTTTTTTAAAATATCCTTTGATCTAAAAGTACATTGAAATTATAATTTCTGAAGTGGTAATTTTACCCACAAATCTCCAAAAACCTAAATAATACAGTTGCGTGAATTTGGTGCCTGTTGTGCTTCTAAAGCACATGGGATAAATGTCTGAAAAGGTCTTTGAAATTTAAATGAATAAAAAGAATGTATTTTATTGAATTTCATGTTCATACTGCAGATCCAGCCCAGACTGACGATGAGCAAATTGCCTCTTCAAGCAAATATCTATCCTATGACTACAATGGCTTATATTCAAGATGTTGGCGTTCGTTTGACACTTCATTCAGCTCAGTCTCTGGGTGTTGCAAGCTTGAAAAACGGTAAGTATAAGATGATAGGTATTATAAAGGCCTGTCCTTCATGATTGTCTAAAATAGTTCATTCAGAGATTACCTACTAGCATTTGAAGAAAGTAAATACGTTTTTCCAACGTCTTCATGAGTTTAGAATGTGTCTGTAATGGAGGAGGTAGGTTGTTCCCACATGAGATCCTGTCATTGTCAATGGAAGATCTGTCTTGAGCTGGAGACAGAGGAAAGAGATTATGAGAAAGACAAAATGAGCAATAAATTGTCAAAACCAGGTATTTTTCACCCAAGAACTCTGATGGAACTCAACAGTGAAACAGCAAAATTAAGTAGTTTGTTCTCTTTCCTGCTGCTGTGGTAGCAGAGGGCTTCAGATGAATAATAGGATGCTGATCATGTTTTCTGATGTGTTTGCTTTAGGGTAGAAAGCACTAGTCTTAAGGTGTATGCAGTATAGCTTAACATCCCTGTCCAGGAAAACAATAACAGCTTTTTTTTGAAGACTAGCATTAGTTAGATAAAGGGTAAAAATTACCCTGGGTAAGAGTCAACATACTTCTGAAGCAAAGTCATACCTCACAAGTTTAATGGAATACTTTGAAAGACCTGATGAATATGTTGACAAGAAAAATCAATTCATGTTCAGAATTCCAAAAGGGGTGCGGTCTTGTCTCTCCGAGCAGAGAACACTATGTTGAACAGTCTGGAGGAATGGAAACAGAGGCAAATTGCTCATTTTATACTGCTACCGGAATGAGGAGGCATTCAAATAAAGCTAGCAAGTACTTGGCAAAATAATACATATAGTTTAAGATGTATAATTCCTTGCTGTGGTTCAATATATTGTGACTTTAAATTTACACAATTTTATATTAATTAGAATTAATACTTGGAAGGAAAAAACCCCATCAGAGTCTATGCCAAAACCTGCTTCCCAGTTTCTTTTCAGAAAAATGTTGTATTAATGTCTATTCTGACAGAAGGTGAATACTGTACTAGATTAATAGCAGTATTAGCAAACCTAAATCGTTGTAGGGCAGAGTTAACCCTGGCTGATGCTTTAATAAAGCCATTGTCAAAAATATAAGCCTTTTGTTCCAAGACCACCTGACACAAGACCCAAAATACTTTTTTTTCCCCCTCATGCCTTCCATTGCTAGAAACGAAATTCTCTTTGGCTGATCTTGTGAAGGAACTTGACAGGACCAAGTGTTTGTAGGTACTCACTGCATAGGTATTAGAGACTAAATTAGTGAGTAGAGGCTCCATTACCTTATAATAGCATCTGTATTTGTTCATTAACAGTCCTAGTCTCTGCATCACAGAAAAATGCAGCATCTAAGTCCACAGAGACCCCACTCTCTTCAAGTTAGGGAAGTCAAGGCTAGTGCTGTTTGACATATTACAGTTAAGTATCGGGGAGAAACTGGCTTTATGTGAGCATTGGTTTCAATCTGGTCAGAGGACATTAGAGACTTTTCTACTACTCAGTTGAGTGAAAGTGCAAAAGTTGTATCCCATACCTGGTCATGGCATTAATTTCATAACTATGTCACCTTTGACAAACTCTATTATAATAGTCAGTCAAGGTTGAGTAATAGCAACATCAAATGTTTACTCTGCGCTCACTAAAAAAAAAGGAGAATGTATTCATCTGACTTGTTATCTTTAGGTAATATGTCATGAAATGACTGTGTTCACTGCCTTTGTCCTGAGGGCATGTTGGACTCATTAACAGAGAACAAAAATGAGTCTGAAAGTTCTGTGGCTGCTGAAAGTCAGATGCTTCATGACACTTCTTTTGAAGGCCCTTCAGGATCTCAAAGGGATCCTGGAAGAAAATTCAAAAATATTACAGTTAGGCAAGTGCCTTCAGTAGCTGTGTATGTGTGTGTCTGAGACTGTGGCATAACACACCATCTGAGATTTATATGAACAGTTGATTTTTTTCTCACTTCTCATTCTTGGATTATGGACAGGTTCCTTACTATGGAGCAGTTAGTTAACACTTATGCTGTCAGATGATCTCAGCAGTATGGAGTAGGATTTCTCACTGTATTGACATCAGTCTTCAACTTCAGCTGCTAAGAAACTTGATCAAAAACTGTAAAGTACCTATGCCGCAGCTTTATTCCTACATTTCATCTCTCTTACCATTTGTGGAATTGGATGCATAATCATTTTTTAATGCCGAACATCCTCCACCTTGTAAGCTCCATCCAGTTCCACTCCAGTTTACTATTTAGTAGATTACTCTCCATACCTCAGGAAGACCTCCAGGTAGATGGGATGCGCCACTGTCATTTAGAGGTGCACTTCCCTGCAGTCTGACAGATAATTAATGGGGTAGCAGGGATCATTTATGTCCCAAAGCCTCATGCAATATACTTTTACCATTTTTAAGCCTGAAATTTCCCTAAAACAATCTTTTTTAATCTTTGACCCATTTTTGAAATGTTTTTTGTGCCTGACTTTAGCAGCACTGATCATTTTGTTTATATTCACAACCACCTTAAGAATCACAAAGCTTTATTTTGTCAGCCTTCATTATCATAGCTTCTTAAAGAATGTTGGGTATACAGTGAGATAGTTTTGAATCTAGATCTTCTAAGTTTTCTTGAAAACTTTGACAAAAGTTTATCATGTTTGTCCTTTTTACTATGGTTCTAGCTTTTTTCAGAGACTTATCGTATCTGTCTGTCAGCCCACATACATACAGCAATCCATAAAGACCATCAATTTGAGGCACAATCCTAGCTTTATACCTTAGTTCAGAATGGTAGTTTGTTTCTTACTCATTGCCAGCTGACTTCTGTCCTGAATACACAAAATTGGACAGGTATTTGTAGAAAAATGAAGAAAAGAGGCAACCTTACTAAGCAGCCTTTTCTAGTAGTTTAATTGTGTATTTCTTATTTAGGAAACAAGTACTTCAGTCTTCCAGTTTTATTTAGGAAACAAGTATACTTGTTTGAAGATTCAGTTTCCAAAAACTGTAACAGCCTTAATTACATGGAGCTGGTTTTCCTCTGGAGATACAAAATTGAAAAGAGATGAACTTCATCTTCCATAAGGCTAATTATGGTTTAACATCATGCTGAAAGAGCTATTCTGAATAGCAATGCTACAGTTCAGTGTAAACTCAGAACTTCATACTCAATGTTCATCTGGTGCAAAGTTCTTTCATATTCCCACAAGTGAAAACACTCTTACAAGATGGTGTGACTGTATTTATATACTGATACTGCCTACCTGTTTTACTTCTGCCTCCAACTGTGAAAGAAAAACAAAAAAAAGAAAGGAAAAAATATATTTGGGAGGTGCACTGTTTTATGGAGTGTAAGATGAAGGCAGTTCTACAGAAGGTCTCTCCATACAGCTGCAGCTACCTGGGGTGATTCTCCTCTTTGCTTGGTGTGCCAAGTGTCCTTGTTACAATTAATAGTTAACAGTAATAAGTTCTCATGCTAAACTTCTATTTAGACTCTTATGTTAAAAATTTGCAGGACCTTCTGCTGAAGGGCTTATGAAACTTTTTTGGATGGCTATAAACGGCCTAAGCCCAAAGGTATTAACTGTTTTCATAATCAGTCCTAACAATATTGATCTACTATTACTCTTCCATATGCAAGACAAAAATGGTAATTCTTTATATTTCAGGGTATTTTTCTTATGTTTAATAGAAGCTGTACATATTCTTGTTACCAGTGTAATCCCTGTATTGCTCTTTAAGGTCAGTTGGAAGTGATCATGGATCGTCGACTTATGCAGGATGACAACCGTGGTCTTGGACAAGGTGTCCAAGATAATAAGATTACAGCTAATATCTTCCGACTTCTGCTGGAAAAAAGACATGGAACAGATGTGGTAGGATTCACTCTCTGGATTTTTCTGGCTAATTAAGATGTAAATATTTGTTTCTGTTGCAGCAGCAGCGAACTTGGTAAAGAAATCATTCCATGGAACTAAGGAAACGTAGCTTCCAAGAGAGTTGTCAGCTTGCTTGCACATTCCATCATAAAGACTTGATCTTTCACTGCTACTTACACAAATACATGCAGTGTCTGCTTTTTCGCTCATACTTCAACACATGACTGGGGTACTGTTGTGGAAGTCTCTTTTATTTTTTTTTTTCTATTTTTCATTTTTTTTAAATGAGGAAGCTTTTAAGAAATTGCTAGTAAGCAAGACTTCTGCTTCTTAACAAAATTAACCAAATCTGGACAAAGGTTGACAAATTATTTTGGATGAATTGAGAGGAAGGAGAAAACATCCTGTAAATTTAATTTTCTTAGGAAATAAGATTTAAGTGGAAATATTTACATACAGGTTTATATCCTTCTCACTTCATTATGATTCTGGGAAAGTTGAGATAATTTTATTTTAAGTGTTGTTTTTCACTTGCACAGATCATTTCAGTTCACCTTTTTCTGTATTAGTCTTTTGAATAACTCTTCAATTTTCTTTCAGTTCTTGCATTTTCTGTCTTTGCATATTTACCTGTCATTTTTGAGGACAAAATAAGTAGTGCATCTTCATACTGAAGCAGTAGAATTATGACGACGGCACTGGGTATATTGTAAAATCATCACATCGCTAAAGATGAGAGGTTGTATACTGAGCTGCTAATGAATATGCAGATAAATTGAAATTAATTCTGGTTTATAATGGGTATCATTAACCACTGTGAGAGGGTGATAATATCAGACTTAAAGCTAATTTCCACCACTTAATGATTGACAGTGGGTTTTTTTCAGGTTGTACATGTCATTATGATTTTCTGCTTCCTCATCCTGTATAACACAGGCAGCATATTAACTGCATATAGCAGTGTGGTGTGCAAATATCTGAGTTAACTTGAAAGAAGCTAACGAATTCTTCAGCAGTCTAGCTTTGACAACAATGAGCATTGCACAGGTTAATCTACCTTCGAAAGAAGAAACCTGCAGAGAGATCTGTACTGACACAGAAAACTTCTTTAGTATCCAGGGTAATTTGTGTTGTCTTAAATTAGAATGTGAAGCAGGTAAGTAAGAATTATTGGACATGGAAATGTATGTTTACGTTAGCAAATAATTTGAAACAACAGGAGGACATCAAATTAGTTAGTGCCATGGTGCTTGCATTGACAGTGTGTGCAGTTTTGGTATTTTCCACAGAACCATAAAATAACTCACTAAAAGATATCTGGAAGTCTTCTAGTCCAGTCCCTGCTCAAAGCAGGTCTATTTTTGCGTCAGAACAGACTTAAAAAACTGTTCAAAGTATTCATCATCCATTCAGACTGTAATGGAGATGGGAAGGGTTAGAGCACGTTTGGTGCATACCTCCAGGGAAGCTTCTTGGTTACTTTCTTCTAAGAGAAAAGCAGTCCATGCACACTGAGACTCCTCTGCAAACTAGCACAGTGCCTGGTTAAGTGGAGTTGGCTGTAAGTTTAATTTCACAACAGCACCACTGCTTCAAACCGAAACACTCCTTTGGAAAATAGATTGAGATTACCTCAATTAGAACAATGGCAGACTAAACAACTCTGGGATTATCTGGTTAGTGGAACATTTATATGTGTGTTTGTATACATTTACCAGTTTGTTCAGGATACCAAACAGTCAGACATCAGGTCAGTAGGATAACAGTGTATTTCCCTTTTCTTATTAAAATCCTCTTCCTTTCCTTCATTTTTGAAAGATTCTGTGCAAGTTGCTGAAAGTCTTTCAAAGAAGAAGGGACAGTTACCTGCTATGATCGAAAGTCTTTGAGGTGGTTTGGGTACCTCTGTTCCAGCATCTACCTTCCTTCCCCTTGACCCTTTCTGCTGAGTTTGTAATGGTTTTAAATAGCTGCAAGCTTTTAATGGCAGTTTGTTCTTACACAGTCTTGCAGACTTGAAAAGAAGGGGGATCAAAACTATAAAAGACTGGGCACAAAAGTGCTGTTGGCCCAACTCATAAGTGTGCACAACTCCCAGGAGCCAAGCAAGCTGTTCTAAGGAAACATTATGCGGTCCTGTGTGACCTACTCTAGGTGGTCCTGCTCTGGCAGAGGGGTTGGACTAGATGATCTTTCAAGGTCCCTTCCAACCCCTAACATTCTGTGATTGTCTTTCTGGAATTCCCCTTTGCTATTTTGAGAGTGTTACAGCATTTTGTTTTTCAAAATTTATTTGACTATTGGTAACATTTTCTGGTTCATGTAACTGTTTCAGATGTGGTAAAGCAAGGAAGAGTAGTAATCCCGTTTCTGTTTTGTTAAATATACAAACGTATTTTTTTAGTGCTTTGTTACTCAGAAGGTAGTTGTTATAATAGCTCTGTCAGAAAAATTATGAAGAAATTATATGCAGTTTATATGTGTAATAGGTTGCAGCATGACTCATACACTGACCCTGATTTTGTTGTCAAGCCCTATTTTGTAATTGACTTGAGGAACCATGGAAGCTACAAGAGAAGAGAGTTTTGATCACTTGGCATCTTTGCCAGTGCAAGCTTTTCCTAAAGTGTATTCCAAAATATTTCATTCTGTCTTTTCTCAAAAACAGTTCTGAAGAAGAGGATTTTTTCTGCTCTCTGGGAAACTTCTCCATAAAAGGAGTGTGAAATGTAGGATGTGCAGTTCTTAGAAATGAAAATAAATGTGCATCACTGGTGTAATTACTGTGGAGTTTTTTGGTTATGGCAATATCAACTAAAAGTTTCTTTTAATTTACATCTCCAAAATACTTTTTTCCTTCCCAGCCCCATCCTGAACAGTGTATTTTAATGACAGAGTCAAACCACATAAATGTCCTGAAATGTGAGATTGACCTGTCCAGTGGGTAGGTAGAATTCTTAATAATTGCTGGCATACTCAGGGAGCTTGTATTCTACTAAGTCCCTAATCCTAATGTTACCTGGATTTTGGCTCTTGAATTCTAGCTCATCTAGCTAGTAGTAAATACTCATGCTGTTATTGGCTCTGTGCAAAAGACTTCAGGTTGATTTGTTTTGCTAAAATTATTTTAGTCTCCCCCCCCCCCCCAGCTGGACTACAAAATGTGTGTTCAGAATGGTAGTATTGTTCATTACGTAAGCGATGTCTTTAGTAAGAGCTAGACAAGTCTTACCTCACTTCACATTATACTCATCTGATCTATGGACATCTGTTGATGTTGTTACTGTATTGATAAAGTTTCTGTACGGTTCTTTTTCTCCTCTTACTAGATGTTACTAATTCTGCCTATGTGTTCATTTTGTCCTTGCAAGCACCTTTTGGCTCTGTATATCTTTTTGACTTCTCTTCTAATATTCATTCTTCTTTTTCCTCAGATTGTTCAGCAAGAACTGAATGCATTTCATTTTTAAATTGAAGGGATTATTATTTAGCTAAGAGGGAAAATGAGTACAGTTATCAATACTTGTTTGTCAAAAGATTAAATGTTTCTTTAACAGACTATTTTACATTTATTATAAGTTTTGTGAAAAATAAGCATTGATACCTTTTTACTTTCTCAGCCTTAGTGTGTTATATTAGTATAAGAATATGAATGAAACAGGATTTGGTAATACCTTTATTTCATCAGTGACATAGGTGAAAAAAAGATACCATGCCAGGCACACTTTCTTTTTCAGATGCCTGTTTCATACCTTGCCTTGACTTGCTCAGTTTATGTAACTTGATTTATAGCCTAGTCTCAAGCAGAGAACCAGGATTCAATGGCTCAAACAGGTGCCATGATTTGGGGCAGGTTGTTTAGAGAAACAATGAAGGAGGCAGTTAATAAAATCACAAATATGAGGCAGTCAGATAACCAAACTCCTCTTCCACCACATACAACTATTTTTTTTCTCATTAAATATTTGTCAGTATCCAGTTTCTCTGAAAATATGTCCTTGGTGATATAGCCATTTCTGTCTGATTATTGAGTTGTATTTGCCACTTACTTGATGTGCAAATTTAGAATGCATGTGTATGTTTCACATGGTAGCTATATACTATTCTTGTGCATTGCTGTGCTATGCGTAATCACACCTTAACAAGCATAATTAACTTGATGTTTCAAAAAAGTAGAAACTCAACATTGGCTTAATTGCTGACATTTAGAAGAATTTTCAAGCCCATGTGTGACAATCACAAATATTCTAATATAATTTTTATTTATGACTACAATAGTGAACTCATCAAATATATACAAAATCTTGAACTTTAAAGTTTTGAAGTTTTAAGGTGGCCACAGGAGGAAAAAAAAATACATTTCCCTGTCTTCCTCTCACACAGAACACAATGCATCTTCTTTAGAGCCTTGCCACATATATTTAGTAATTAATTTGTTTCATTTGAAGAGAGATTCAAATATATGTTAGTTCTTTACAGCTTTGTTTAAAACACTACATTTAAATTATCATTACTGTTGCTGCTATATAGATGATACTATCTTATGCTGGAAGTTTGTGTCTGCTGCTCAAGAATACTGTTTCCATCTCTTATTTATCTACAAATACAATCTGCTTTCAGGCCAGCACCGTCCTCATTACCTTACAGCTTAATTTCTTTCAAATATTGTTTTTTCTTCACACTGTGTTGCAGAAAGGTTCTAAACAAAGATGTATATGTCTCCAAGCTCCATCCAGAGCTGTAGGGAATGAATGTTCTCACCCTGCAACAGGGCAGCAGGCATTCATAGCTGACTTATGGTGAAGTTCGTAGTACCGAGGACTGCCTTCCTCTGATTTCGGAGCTTAGAGCTATGTCTCTCTTGTGGGGATTTTTTGGTGTATGTATGTACTTCTCTACGGTGAATTACTTCGGTTGGTTTTACTTGTCTTCATATGTGCATACCTGTCTGCCAGCTCTGTTTAGAAAGAATTTTACTTCAGTAGTATGCATAGTGT